ATCTGCTGGGGGGCATGACGTCATCGAATGTGAAGACTGGCGCGAAACCATTACATAGTGTAGTCGCTGTGTGGAAGAGTCTTCACTTCGCCTTGCCGTAAAGCAAAGCCAATTTGGTAAGTTTCGCCTCTTTTTTCCTTGCCGATATTGCATTTATTCGTTGTCGTTCGTGATAGCGTTAATTAAAATAGCAACGAGACTGGATTCTAGCACGGTTTGCCAGCCTCCCGGTTTACCACAGTTTGCACGTGTTGGTGAGCCTGAATGTTTATAGTATTAAGCAGTGAATCCTAGCAAACTATATATCAGAAGAAAGCTTAATAACTGCAGATTACGATAAAAACATAATTTAAGCGACTTTCTTTTACGGAAGTGTCAAGAGCCGGTAAGGCGTTAAACGACCGAAGGTTCTTCTATTGAATTCATCGGGTATCGGATGCTGGATCATGAGCATAATGGCTGCACAGTCTCATTCACGAGGCATCAATCAACAAAAGTGTGTCAGGCTTTTTCGATATTCTGATTGGTTGTGTCCATATCGGCATCTTTAGTTGGAGTAGCTAAAAATATGCGAGTCGTGTTGCGTAAATGGACGCCACGGGACAAATTTTTCAAATATCAAAATTTCCCGACACATCTTCGTTTGTCATCATTCCTAGGATGTTTTGGCGAAATTTGACGAAAATCGGTCAAATCTATATACCCTATAAATTCGCTCAAAGTAGTGGTATTCCTCCTAAAGTCAAATGGCAGATTTTAGGTTCGCAAACAACTCGCGCCTCGCCAGAAGATTATTTGGCCCCAGGAAACCGCAAACCAATAGGACAACGGGACCTCCTGGCGTCAATGACTATGGATCAAGATTTCCCGGTAAAAGTAACCCATTGCAGACTTTTTTTTCTTTTTTTATCACGATCGCTCAGTGGAGCGTTGAGGAGGACAACACAATAATGAGCAAAGTGGTCAAAGGCAAAGGAAAAACCTGCTGCAAAAATTAAAAAAACTGCAAAGCTGAGGAGCAAGACAAATAATCGACATACAGCTTTCAAAATTCCGATTTGAGGCGATTTTTAATGTTTTTGTATCAAGGCTAGTACTTGTATTTAGAAAAGGAAACTTCGCTTTAAACATTATGTATGGTAAATTTTGGTTGGATGACGACCTCTTTGTTCGAAATCTGGGCGCCAGCGTGAAGCTCCGTTAGTACTAATCGCTTTCACAAAAGAATTGTGTTCTTTACTTGAAAGAGTGCTACCCTTTCTTTTCTTTGGGCCTGCCTTTTTCTACTTTTTTGCTCCCAAGGACTTTCTTCTGCTGTTGATTTTTTCCATGCGCAAAGATTTTTCCATAAACAAAGAGCTTCCACGTGTGAATTCTGTAAAGTGTGCGATGTAAACAAAATATGGAAATAACATGAATATCGAGCCTCAATATGAGCGGTTGCCGCGAAAATTCCCCCAGGGAAATCACCCAGGTCCCAGATAATGACACCTTCCTGATTTAATAACTTTTATTTGAAAATACGTTTTTCTAAATAACTCGGGTGCTTTTAAAGATATCAGATATTTTTTCCATGGAAACATTTGATTGAATGTTTGAATTCAGTTTTGTCAAATGAAATAAAAATCGATTTTTTAGGTCTCTGAAGGTAGGAAGTAACCTTAAACTCACGATTCACAGCAAATTAAACATTCATTTGTCGTTTCACGGATAATAATTTTACAAAATCACGCTTCACGACCACTTTGAAAATCACGATTCACGACAAAAAAGTTAGCAGTTTCATATTTCACGGGGAGAACAAGGGCCGATCACGAGTCACGAAAATGCCCTTTACCGCATTCACAAAACCATTTGAAATGCACATTCTTAAAACGATTGAAAAAGCGAGTAAGAGCTTGAATTGTAAAAGACACAAACTTTGCGGTAGCTTACGGGAGCAGCTTGCTACCAGTTGATAGGATTGTTTACTTACGGTGTAACCTAAAAGTTTTATCCGCGTAAGGTTTTAAAAAGCATTTAAGCTAGTGTTTGATGATGAAATTAGTGGTTAAGTATAAATTTTCGTTATGGAGAGTGCCCGGAGGAGGGGTTACTCCTTTATATGGCGTATACAGGGACGTGCCGTTGGACAGGGTATTGTTTTCTGGCCTCTCTGTCTTGAACAGGATCTGAACTTGTCCGGGTATGAATAGGTCAGGGTTTGAAACTCTTCGTTGCACCCCTATACCCCTCACCCTGGACACTTGTCTACATGGCTGTGTCCGACACCGCTGCATCAATAGGCTATCGGCCAAGACCCCTAAAAATTGTGTTCATTTCAGCCCTTCCCTTAATGGAACGTTTAGCTAAGTTCTAAAATTAAGCTTGAATATTTGAGACAAATTTTGCCGATTTACCTTATTTAAAATTATCTCGAATTTCAGAACGATTCGAACGTTAACACCACTGTCGCCGAGTTACTACAGCGAGCAGCCCAGATGATAAGCGATGGGAATACACACAGTACACCATCGACGAACATCCCAGTGGCGGGTCCATCTAGCCCAGTGGTCGACGAGCACCGCAGGTTGTTCAATTGACAACTGGTAATTTATGGCTTCTTATTTCTCCTATCAGAGGTTCAATGCGCTGCAATGTGCTACATCCACGCTTCTACAAAACTCGCTAACACTCTGTACCACACTTGAGCATACGTGTAGCTTCGAGAGAGTCGTGCGGCAAGCGACGCATGCCAGTAAAAATGTCTCTGCACGGACGAGATCTCTGGGGTTGAGTTGTTATGCTTTTTAGACCGTAGACCTTATTTACATTATTTTAAACAAAAATGAAAACTTGTACCATACTGGTAACTCTGTTTGGCGTGCATGAACATTAAATCAATCTTAAAGGCTTTCAAGTTTTCTCGTTCTCAGAGGAACCGTCCTGTCTGGCTTATCAATCAATTTTCCTACGCTATTGCGTGTTTTTCTTTTTCTACACCCGTATGCAAAAGTGTCCTTTGCCCGTTAGCGGAGCAACTTTTCTCTTTCATTTGCGGAAGCTTTACCCACGCCGATGCATTTCATTTTCACTTGATAGTATGTATTCCGTACGATCAACTTCTCATAAAATTCAGAAATGTACTCTGTTTTTTTCGGGTCCTGCAAGGAAGGCATTAACAGAGGCATTTTCTCTAATAATTTTTTGCCACTTTCAGAGGGTCCACCCTTACGCGAGCAGGCGGCAGAACCGCGTAAGCAGTTCCTCCCAGAGAGCACAGAGAGTCCCAGAAAATAGAGGTAACTGATGATTACACATTTTCGTCTACATACGGAGGCCCTTTTGCAAGACCTGGATAGTTTGCAATTGACCCAATACCGAAAGAGATGTGTTGGCCATGGTTTGGAAAGATAAATTGAATCTCTCGTAAATTTCCATTAACGAGGCCAAGAAACTAAAAGTCTTGCGATTTATCACTTAGCTCTCTCAAAATAAGTAGTAGGCACGGATGCGTTTCTCAAAACCCGGAAGACATGTCGGTTCCGAGAGCGATTATTTTAATCCATTTTCTTTCAAGTGGCGCTGTAGATTTTAGTCCCGTGTAAACAAGCCCATCTTCTCAATCAAGTAAGTATGGTACTTTTAAGTTTTCACCAACACCAAAAATTGACTACATGAGAAAAGAAATAGCTTTACGTAACTAGTAAGTTATCAGGACTTCTGGAACACTGGTCCCAGGGCCTACAAGCCAGGTATTCTGAGCTTGTTAACTTGAACTTTCCTTTCAGCCGGAAAAAGAACAAAGCAACAGCATCCTATGTTTAACATTTTGAGGAGGTTTTAAAAAGTCTTGAAGCAGTATTGATAAATGTTCCTCACCCCTTTTTGTCATTTAGTGGGACTGACTTTGTGCATTCGATTGTTCACAGTATTTGTTGTCATCTCCAAGTTATCGGAATATCAACTTCCTCACGAGCTAATTCACGTAAACATTCACATCTTTCCACGGCGGCTGTAGTTTCATAGGTTAATTGGAGTACTGTCGAGAGGAAATAATGCATTTTTAATTCAGTGCACTACTGTCACTAGTCCTTCCACTAAGTGTAACCCCAAACATTACAAATATCTTTAAAATCATACATAAGTTCATTTGCATGCAGTATTGACCTTCTCTCAGTAGGAAAAATGACTACTCAACTCCATTAGGATGACTTTTTTGATCTGTTAGAGGATGAAAACAGGACATTAATTAAAAGCAATGTTTACAACTTAATGCAATTACAACTTATTAAAACAACACTACAATTTTTAACAGAAAAAACCATTACCAGAACTTTTTTTTGCCTCGCTGGGCGTGACAAGCTCACCCATCGCCAGAAATCAAGGACATTTCGAGCCCGCAATTATCAGCGGTATATCGTGTTACACTCCGGAACAATAGAATATCAAGAGAATTCAATATGGCGGCGATCACGGCTCGATCTGCAAAGAAGCGTGTTTTGTACCATGACTTATACAATTTGAGCACCGCAGATCTTCTATTTGATGAAAAGAAAAGAAAAGAAGACCTGCAAATAAATCTTTGGGATTTTTCGAGGCAGAGCGATGACATGAATAGCAGAATATAAACAATTATGGCCGACGATTCGAAGATCAGCGTTGCTTGTGTTTAACTATTTCAGTCATAGTTTTCAACGTGGCGTCTCGTCACTTATTCAACATGGAAAATATGGGATATTTGGCGCGCTGGGAAGTTTTTTGATGGGAGGAAATGGCAATTTTACAGGATATTTGGACGCTTCGAACTCTGTAGCAGTCAATTCGATCGAGAGCAGTTGACTTTATTGATGCACTTTCCTGTAATAGGTGAGTGTTTGGGATGGAGAACGACGGATTTTGAAGAACTGTATGGCGACCTAGGTCAATGAACAATGACAAAATAACTGGCTCGGGAAGTAAGTGGTTTTTATTCATCGAGTCCCTGTGAGGTTTGATGAATAGCAGAATCAGTACTGAATATGTCTATCCCACTGCGCGGGATGCGAGCCCATATGGAAACGTGTCGGGTTTGTGTTTTGCTGGTGACGTTTTTGCGACTATTTCTGGGTAAAATATCGAGCCTTCTGCGCATACTTAATTTTTTCCTTTGGAATAATTTGTTTGTAGGGTGAAACAAGGCCTGCAGAAACATCCGACGATGATCTGCCGCTAGCATTTCACGGTGGTTCGTTGCTAGGTTTTTTCCTCCCGGAAGCGCGGGCGCGTGAATGTCTGCGGTAATTGCCATTAGTATTCCAACGTAAAGCAACATGGCGGCGAATTTAAGTGAAGTCGTGTTCGATTTAAGAGGCCAAACAGATTTTTCAGAGAGGGGAAAAACATTTTGGAACGCAAGTGAACTGGAGCTGAAGTTTTCTTTTGAGCGGGAGTGGCTGAAGGCGGTCAGGCGAGCAAAAAGACGACCAAACTATGGTATGGGGAAGATGAATAGCGGACTGGAAGAGGTTTGCGGCAACAAACTTGAGCTTTGTGGTCCACTGGTGGATGGCTACCTTTTAGAAATTGGAGAGCAGATTGCTTCGAAACTAAGTCGCTCAAAAGCAACATCATTGGTAGGCCCAGTTGTCATCTTCATTCCGTGGCAGATATTTCGTCACATAACAGTTTTGTTCAGGGGCTATAGTGGAGAAGTGAAATTTAATGAAAGAAAATCAAAAATTACTTCGACACTATCTTGTATACAAGCAGTAGAGAAAGTGTTTTCGCCGGCGAGATTCGAAGGCCAGGATGTTCTTAGAAAAAGACATTTCAGTCAACAACCGAAATCAAAGGGAAAGCTGTCGTCTGTTTACAAAGGCAGGTCAGCCGTTGTTGTATCTAAAAACACTCCTTTTGTTGTTGAATACAACCCCAAAAGTCAGAAGGCTATGGTGACATTTTATATTCAACGGTACACGGCAGATGATTTTGTTTTCGACAAAAGCTTACAAAGTCTCATGAATAAACAAGGTAATATTAATTAATATTGTGAGGTTAGTGTTGATCAAAGAAACACGAGTTTGTAGCTTTTTTTTCAAACATACATTAGTTACACGTCTGTGTCAACATGGTCTCATGTTGAAATTTTCTAGACACTGTATTTCCTGTAAATATATTTAGCATTCCATCTGGTGTGTAAAATATATTATTTTAAATTTTATTACAACTTCAATGATAAATAATCTTAGGTGACATTGCAGTTAAAATTTACCTGGTTAAAAAATAAACTTATGTAAACTTTATAAATGGTAATAAAATATGATTATGGAGCTTTCTGGTGATACATTGACAGTGAAAAGTCTTATTCTATATAGTCTCACTTGCTAATGTACCCTCAAGGCGTCTAATAAGAACATCTTTGTTTCCACTAGTGCTTAATTGCCTACTTTGCAACTCCATTTTTAGGTCACTTACTTTCATATTTCTAGGGTTTAGATTACGGCTATTTGTAGCTGGACCAACAGGCTGTTTGCTGCATAAGTGAACACTTTTATGAGCCTCGTATGTTACAGTATCAGGAAATCTCTCATTACATACAGAGCATAGGACTGGTTTTAATGATGAAAGTACTTCAGGTATTAGTTGCTGTCCCTCTGCACACTGGACAGTCACCCTGGCATCTACACATACCTCACATATATAATCATTAATTTCCTTTTCTCTTCCACAATTGCAAAAGTTGCTTGAATTAAGCTGAGAAGGAAGCCGAGACTTAAAATGAGAAGTATAAGAACTTGGCATTGGTTGATGTTCTGGCAAATGAAATGCTCTTACATAATTAGCTCTCATGACTTGCCACCATTTCCCTTTTTCAGTTGTTTTATTGGATCTGTTTGTCAAATCCAAGTCATTTTTAACCCCTGAATGTTTAGCCTCTTTTGCCTGTAATGATATTATACCATAACCCACTTTGTAACTTTCATACAGTTTAGTTGCATGATATGGTATGGCATACCCTACTGTCCACACAGTTACATTAACATCTGATGAAAAAAATAATGCATATAAATTAAAATAGAGTGTACAAAATTCTGTGAGCTCACCAAGGTAGGAAGGGCTAACTTCAATTTTGTTAAAAAGAGCCCCAGCATTCCTAAGGAATTGTGCAATTTTTCCTAATGCTAATCTTTCTAGTTTCTGGGCTGGGGATTCATCTAAGACTTTAAGAGCATCAATGAGCCTAAAAGAAAAGTTTGCCAAAGCAATGGCCTGGTCTCCTATCAACCGTACTGGAAGCTTCTTGTGCCTCTGAGCCTCATCATTATAGTGATCCTTAATCACAGAAGCTAAATACCCCAACCCACAACCAAGTTCACCAAAATCTTCCTTATGGTTACTTGACAGTGCATTGCCCAGGTCACATACAAACTTTTGGTTAGAGGCATTAACAAAATCAACCCTAGTAGATCGTTCTCCAGCACCATCATTATGTGGAACATAAACTTGTGATTTTCTATTCCCATTACCATTTCCTTGATCAGCTCTCCTTTCTACAGCCGAGGCACTTAATATATCAATAAATTTGGTAAAAACACCTCTTTGTGCTGCTACCCTGTATATGATATTTAAAACATGCTGCCATGCATTAATTTCACAGTGGATAGGCTCTGGGCGCTGCCGCTCTGCAAAAATTCCAGTTCGGGGGGTGCCTAACTGGCGAATCCCATTCTCTGCCATGAACTGTAGTTTTCTAGAGTGGCGATTTTTTTCACTCAGGGAAGATGGCAGGGAAATCATAAACTCATTTACCCTCTTAACATGGGAATTTCTGACCTCCAGAGTATAAGGTTTGAATAAATCTTCCTCCCCCATCCCAATAGTGGCACCCATAGTACACATATTTCCTTTGCTTACGTTAGCATAAGGAGATGGGTAAGTGGCAGCTTGATTTAACTCATTGTTAGCCCAGCTTTGCCAGCTCATATCAGCACTGGGCTGAAACTCTACAGTACACTGCTTGTTAGAAACAACAAATACATTACCCTCTAACATTTCCATTTCATCAGTGTGTTGCTTCCAGATACTTTGTAACACCTCATCTTTCTCCCCCCGACTGACACAATGTAAAATGTACTGGAAATCCCTGCTTCTCACCCTGTCCCCAAAATTCCATGATGTTAGGCTGCCAATTGACATGGTTAGCTGACTTGACTCAGGGGCCCCATCATCAGAAAATTGCATGATGAAATGATTTATGTTGTCATTAAACCAAATTAGCTTACGGAATAAATAGGGAAGTCTAAGGTGCAGATCAATTATCATAAAAACCAACCCAGTTATTGTTCTGGAACACCCGGTGCATTGGGAATTTGATTAACATGACCAATGTCAAGACTTCTCACAAAATTCTCCACCCGTTTGTCAGAAATAGCTATATTTGGCACCCTTAAGTCCAAACCTAAACATTTTATGTTACGGGGTACCCATAGATCAGAGTTTGGATCAAAAACTGAAGACTGAGTTTTGCAGACAAGGGCATACTTTCTGCGAGACAGAAAGTTCTGGTACTTCATAAAAACAGCTTGTTTCAAAGCCTCATCGGAATTTTGATACCCTTTCATTGTCTTGTCAAACAGACCCTGGAGATATTTCCCTCGTTTAAGTCCAGAAATCAGTGTGTCCATGGTTGATTGTCAGCAGTAGATGAAATATAATCCCAAGCCCCATATATTGACCCTTCCTTTCCCCCATGAATAAATTCTAATACATTTTTTGTCTCCTGTCTTCGTCTGTACTTAGTGCTGGAATTGACATTTGTAATCATATCATAAGTTGTACTGGCATTTTTTCTCCTAGCTACTGAAAAGCCTTTTTGTTCAAGCAGAGATTTAAATTTGTGATATTGCTCATTTAATTGTGTTACTTTTTCCTCTTGTTGCTTTATTTGATCTTCCTTTTCTTCCACACTCTTTTGAAGGCTTTGTAGCTCTTCTTCTACTGCATCTTTCTGAGCAACAGAAGTTTGTATTTGTCCCTCTTAAAAAAAACCAAAAAAAACAAACAGAGAAATTAGATCTCAACATTTTTTGCAATCACATGTAAATAAAATACTAAAGGAACAGAATGTTGTACATACATAACTTAATTTTCCGTTCGAACTTCAGAGTAGCATGGTGGTAAAAATGAAATCTTTTGCACGTTTCGAAAACACTCAAAGTTATAGTATTACCATATTCATCCAGCCGAGCCTTTTTCGCTTCAATGTCCTGTGATAACCTTTTGTTTTGTTCTTGTAACTCTCCTTTTCTTTTCAAAGCTACATGTGAAGATGAACTCTTCCAGAATGCGTGAAAAGTTCTACTAGAATCACAGCGTCCTTGGTGAGAATTAGGCTTACTGCATTTTCTGCTTTTTCCGCACAGAGGTTTTCGACTGCAAAGTGAGCAAGAAATTTAAGTTATTCAACATAACCACACAAACGCGAATTCGACGTTCAGAATTGCTTTGCTTACCTATCGTCCCGTTTATCCCCTGAAAAATTGCTGGCCATACGAAGATTCTTCCTCGAATGGTCTTTTCACTGCCGTAATTACACACAATGATTGGCGATCTGTAGAGAATCCAATATGGCTGCCAGCAAGAAGCATCGAGCGCTCGATAAAATCGGGGTTTAAAATGTACAAATTTACGGTTTCCACGATTGAAAATACAAACAAACGGAGTCTACATATAACGATAAAGCTTTTTTATTTGTGATAGGTAGGATACAACGAGAATAGAAAATTACCCAGGATGGATTTCCCCCTCACAACGCACCAAATTCACATTCTTAAACGATTTCACCTCGAAAACACAATCCTAAGGGGGGGTCCCGAAATCAAAAAGATACTTTAGTATGAGAAGAATATACCTACCCCTGAAAGTAACGATTTTGACCTTTTTAGCTAGCGTTTAAACCAGGAATTTGTCTCAGAAGGGGACTGAGTAAAACTCGCTTTTCGTTACCAAACGGAAGCGTATGCAAGCTTTACTATTAGAAAGCCATAACTGGAATGTTGGGCAACTGTGTAAGATGCAAATGTATTCATATTGTTTATTGTATTGCCGAGAAGCGAATTTCAATATCTCCACCGCTACTGAGCCATCGAACGCGAAAACAACAAAGGCCTGTTGGATCACGTGACGAGAGGGACGCTATGGGAGGAAATCGCATAGCAACGAACCACCGTGATTTGGAGAGAGGAGGTAAGTAGAAGTGGTCACCCCACTCGCATGGTGATTATCGTTTCCACGCTTTTAGAAAGTACTAAAAGTTGTTTTCGGTATTTCACGTAGTTAGAAATTCCTTTTGTACGCACTGTTAGCTTTAATTACTTTTAAGATATCAGTGACTTTATACTTTATATTAATATCATATATGGGGCATTAACATGGGGCATTAACATGGGGCATTGTGCTAAGGCTGAAGGTGGTCTTTTTACACCAGTATAATCAATATTTCAGAGAGGAAGAACGAGTTAACCCCAGCAGAACTGCCAGATCAGCCTCCTGGTGGCACTGAGCAGAATTCACTGGAACTGCCAGAACAGCCTCCTCTTGGTACTGAACAGGCTTCAATAAGTCTTGGCGAAGCAGCTGCCAATAAAGAGTGAGTTTCTTAGCCATGTTAAAATTACCCGTGGAGGTTGATTATTTAGGAGGCGCTGAAGAGTTTCTCAAGTGCGTCTAAGGGAATGAAACGCCAATCCTGTATCGTTTTCTATGGACTAACCGTGTGTACACCCATTATACGCTGCTGCTGCCGTCATACACTAATTTACAGTTGATTGTAACATCATGAAAATTGCATGAAAACTTCTCCCATCCCGCTAAAAGCCCCCTCAAATAGTTGTTCCTTGCTATCTGCCTAGGGAACCTGTCCCGCACGAGGAGCATATGAGAAATGCATCAGAGGAAACATTAAAAGCTATGTAAGTACTAATTGATAGAGTTATGCTTGGTACATTCTGCTTGATTGTCTTTTCCGTAACCTACAGTGTAGTTGGTGTTAGTGTGTATGAACGTTTGCTGTGATATCGTTTTAAGGGAAGGAACGTGGAAATTAGGCGTCCGTCCAATGATATAATGTGCTAAGCACAACCTTTTATGTGCAGAGATCCGTTAGTTGATTTTACTACTTTGACTTTGGCTCTCAACTATTCGTGTAAGAAGCTAAATACAATCGGGCCGACTGCTCGTTAGTTGACCGGTTTAACGCATGTGTCACCGCATACTTTTGGGAATTATTTAAATTTCACGGGCGTTACGCCTCTTTGATCATTTCAAATTTATTTCAGGGCTACTTGTAACGAGCCTGTTACAGTCTTAGGGGAGTTCAGGCGAAGGTTACAGCGAGGGCGAATGCTTGACCTTCAAAACGACTCTGAACTGTGTGAGGGAAAGACCACGGAGATATTTGTCTCTCGTTACCGGTTTGGGATAGCTGGGAAGCCTCTATTATGGTTGCAATCTTATTTATCGAATCGCACGCAATATGTCTCCGTTGATGGTGGTACTCCGCCTCTTCGATGATGCAATGGAAAAGATATTGAGGGATGATCCGCCAGCGATTGATTTCAGTGTACCTTTAGAGGTGATCTTCACCGGCGAGGGCTCTCAAGATTATGGTGGTCCAAGGGAATTTTTGGGCATGGTGATGCGCGAAATACGTGACAAGCTCTTCAAGGAAGAAGGAGAAGGCTACGTTTTTTTTGAGAAAAAAAGAAGCATTGGACAGGAAACAGTATTATGGAGCTGGCCTCTTTTTTGGTAAATATGCAAAGCCTACTTAGACACCTACGTCATTTTCACTTGAGCACACAAGAATTTAAATTTACCTTTTTATTGCAGGTTTCAGTTTGTTGCAAGGTGGTCCTTTGCTTACTTTCCTTGCTGAAGACCAGCTTGAGCGCCGGAATCTTCACAAAAGATGATTTGACTAATCTGGGGGAAGCGGAAACCCAATTTCGGGTAGGACTCGAGAGATTCAGACTCGTTTAGGTAAGCTTTCACGGTGACCGGTTGTAACTGACGGTCTTCACTCTTTACTTAGGCAAGAAAACCAAATTCAATTATGACTACAGTCTCTAACAATTTTACATAGATTCCATGAATCTTTCTTTTCTATTAATCTGTTAGCTCCTTCATGGGAAACCGAGCCTTTCATTCCTCTTCAGAAAGACAGCAGTGCTGCCTATGACATACCCCAAACTGGTGAAACTGCTGGACCCTATTTTTTCCGACGAAGCGACTAATCGAAGACAGCGGGAAGAAAAAACATACAGACTCTTCCTGAATTACTTGAAAGAGGTGTAAGGTAACTGTCGTTTCTTTTGTCTGGTCTAAGAAACATCATCGCTGGCTAGACAAATGTAACTTTGCTTTATGCCAATCGAAATTTCCACAGAGCGCGTAAAAAAGAATTGGGATTTAGAGCTTTATGAGTGCACTGCTAATTTTTGTGTTTTTCTCTTTTTAGCTGGAAGAAGGTTAGATGGCAATATATCTCTCCATAGTATTTTAAAGTTCGTCACTGGATGCGAGAACGAGCCTGTTCTGGGTTTCCAAACGAAGCCCACTATTTGTTTTGATACGAACATGCCATCTTGCCTTCCTATGGGCAACACTTGTATTAGCAGGCTGACTTTGCCGATAGGTGAGAATGTATCAATGACCAAGGAAGAAGTGTTCTCTTTCTTTGACTACGCTTTCGCAAATGATTACTTTGGCCGTCTCCAATTGAAACTACTGATTTCTGATTGACTCTCTTTGACAAGGTGTTTTTTTATTTATAAGTTGAATTTAGTTTACAGTAGCACTGTAGAGGCGAAAATTCTGAAATGGGCCTGAGATGAACGAAATGAAAATACATTGAAAAGAGCAAAGTTTATGTGTTAATGATGCCAAATACTCATCCAACTCGATACAAAAGAAAAGCGAGGGACGTTTATTGCGCAATTTTTAAAGCCGTTACGTTTTAACCTATTATACTGTTTAAAAGTCCCAATTGATACATTTCCCATGGATCTTCGCCTTGGACTTCTGACATGCTTGCCTCAAAAATCGTAAACGAATCAGCATCTAACGGACACCGTGTTAGGGGGACAACAACCTCATTCTGTAGTGCATCATCTGTGCTGTCATGAAAGTAAGCCGTAGGATCCACACTGTATCCCTCCAAGTCCTTCTGAAATATAGTTGAAAGGAGATTTAAATACCGCAAAACACTGGTCATGACTGCCTTAAATTAACTTTGCAAGCAATCTTGGCATCGTTTCGATCATCATCTGTATTTAAATTGAAGGGGTGGTTAATTAAAACTCAATATTTAGTGCAGGCCACTTGAGATTGTTCACCTGTGTGGCTTTAATGCCTGGGGAACTGTGTCTGTCATATGCATTATTGCGTTTACCTGAATAAGGCTTTGAAAGTATTCTGATGCCACAATACCACTTTCTTCCGCAATTTCTTGCATCCCTAGTATGAACAGTAGTAAAGGACTTTTGTTTCCTGCAGTACGTATTTTGCGATTATTCCAGGATAGCACAAATTTTGAAAGGACCTCGTTGATTATTGAGAGATAACTGAAGTGAAGGCAAAATAGATGCCCTTCGTTGTCAAGATCGAGCTGACCGCATGCTTCGAGAGAAAGGAAAAGGTCGTAAAATGAGGACAGGACTAACTTGTACACATCACGCCAGAGTCTTTCTATACGCGAGTTGTGCTCACTTCGTCCGGTGATGTAACTCCCTCTTCTGGGCCCTCTCGCTATATGGCTCAACATGTAGTGTGCCACGTCTCTGTTTTCAACTCCCATGTCACCCCTGACTCGTGATGGCAATCCCCATTCAGGACACCGCACCCTCAAAGAGACGCAAGACTGTGTCAGACGTGTCATTCGTATCGCACCTAAGGTAAACGACGGAGCGACTGTAACCGTCAATACAGTCGTGAACCACGAATCGCCATCTACGAAGAGAAGGAATAGAGTGGCAAACCGAAAGTATATGTTGATAACTTGTGAAGGGGAGAGGGGGGGGGGGGGGGAAGTTGCTCCTAAAACAAATGGTGCAAAGTTATTGACACCTGAATTATAACAACAAATATGTCATCAAAATAGTGAGATAGGTGACAGCTACCGTATCAGTTTGTGATTCCCGTCCATATGCCAGAGGGCCAGTGGGGAAAGTACGTTATACACGTGTCTACGGATGGCATTCATAGACCTTAGCCTCCTACCAATGTGATCGACTCTCTTTATGGCACTCCTTAGTCTCCACCTCTGCACACGTGCACCTTGGGAAACAAGGTAACCCTCGATTGTTTGCAACCTGTCAACAAAAATAAGAGTTTTAATTTCAAGCACCCTGTGACACAGTAGTGAAGCCAATGCCACTTGTCGGTGCTTTCTTGAATTCTCTGTTTAAAGGATACAAAGTGTGTTTCTGATATGCAAACGTTTGTGTTAACACTGCGGCGGGGCTTAAAAGCTCTTGCCTGTAAGTTGATTACGTTTTGAATGGAAGTTTTCTTTGCTTAGCCCTAAAGGCAAGAAGAGAAACGTCACAAGTCACGCAACTCTAGTCAATGTATCTAGTTTGTACCGAACTCAGTCTGTAGCAATAATAATAATAATAATAATAATAATGATAATCGCAAAAATTAATAGTTGAGGTAAAGAATGTAAAAATAAATAAAAATATAAATAAATACGTCTACTGAAACAAACGACGAAACAGCCAGGTGTCCTGTCAATTGTCTGAATTATGCAATAGTTTTTATACAGCAAGTTGCGACCGTAACAGATCGAACGGTAAAACTCGACCTAGATTTGGACAATTACGTACAACTACGCGCATTACGGTGTCCGCATTAGCCTTCCTTAATACGTGATGACTACGGAATGGGAAAGAGCGCAGGGAAGATAGGTATGTATGCGCGCTAAACCAACTCAGTAAAAAATATTACTCTGGCAAACACTATTTTTAGAACGCGAAAAAAAACCTTTAACTGATTCCGATCCAGACATGTAATTTACCTTTGATCGACAAAATAAAAATAGATCTTACTTTTACTATCACTGCACTCAGGAAAAATTACTAAACAAAGCAATATAATGTACACTTCTTTAAAATAATAAATATAAACAGTCTTCTCTCAGCTTACTCTTATCGTCCGGCACACCAATTAAAGCATTCCGATATCACTTTGATTGAAAAATGTCAAAACAGATCAAGGATATCAGTTTTCGTACCTTGGCGTCCAGGGCACACACAAAATTCAACTTCTCATGTACTCCTCCAGTGTTCAAAGAGCCGTTGAAGTTGAACCCTCGTTGAAAAGTAAGCGTGAGTCAGAGAAAGAAAAGAGAGCTCGACAGTCGACATTTAATGCACGTCATAACACTACTTAATACTATACACATATTCAGGCCCACCAACACGTGCAAACTGTGGTAAACCGGGAGGCTGGCAAACCGTGGTGGAATTCAGTCTTGTTGCTATTTTAATTGACGCTTTCATGAACGACAACGAATAAATACAATATCGGCGGGGAAAAAAGAGGAGAGACTTACCGAATTGGCTCTGCTTTACGGCAAAGCTAAGTGAAGACTATTCAATACAGCGACTACGCCATGTGATGGTTTCGCGGCAGTCTTCACATTCGATGACGTCATGCCCCCAGCAGATCGCTGTTCCGGTTTCTGTTTTTGGTGGTTTCGGCGAGATAGCCTTGGCGGCCGTCACCACCAAAAATACAAGGATGTCATATAGATCAGCAATTCAAAGATGGTTTAAGGATCAGCTGCAGGATAGCATAGCTAATAAGGGAATGGCATGGCCTTCACGTCACGCTACAAGCAAGCTCGACGATTCGCCACAACATCGAAAGATTTCAAGTAATACTAAGCAATTTAATGTTCAGATAGAGCGTCTCATGTTCTGCAAAGCTATTCGACCTAACGCTACACTATTTGTGTTTATGCTGTACCATTCTACATTACGCTAAGCCATTTCACGCAACGCTACACCATTTTTGTGTACACTGTACCATGCGACATTACGCTAAGCCACTTGACGCAACGCTACACTGTTTGCATGTACGCTGTACCATTCGACATTACGCTGAGCCAATTTCACGCAGCGCTGCACCACATGTGTGTACGCTGTACCATTCTACATTAAGCTGAGCCATTTCGCGCAACGCTACACCGTTTGTGCGTGCGCTGTGCTACTCGACGTTAATCTGAGCCATTTGACGCAACGCTACACCGTTTGAGTACTGTATTGCACATGAGTGCTAAGCTATTCTTAATTGATTTACTCCATTTCACAATTATATGTTCCAACTCGACATGGGCAACTAGACCGTTTATCATTTGGCTAAATTATCCATTTTTAGGGTGTTCTGTTTCACGAGGGAAAACTAAACCGTCTATAATTTGGCCATGCCATTCCTTTATGAGCTATTCTATCCTGCAGCTGATCCTTACACCGTTTTTGTATTTGCTGATCTATTTGACATCCTTGTAT